GACCATGGAGATATAAACAGCTTTTTATAAGGTAAAAATAATAAAACAAGGTCTTTGTCTGCAATGATTAGACATGTTTTTTATTATTGTCTTTAGTGATTATTGCAATTTTGGCTAAAAGAATTGACAAAATCCTACACACTGTGCCTTTAAAGTTTATATCTGTGTCACAACATSTGTCAAACTGACTGAGTTTCAGCCAGTTTTGTGTTTAATATTGACTGGAGATCATCTTCAACTGAGCTGACACCAAAAGCTAATCAGCTGTAGATGAACATGTAATGATTACTTCCTGAAAATTTCATTAAAAATCCTCCAGTTCTTCATTAGATTGGTTTTGGTGACAGACAAATGAACACACACACACATACGTGTGCGCACAGACACACACTCTACATTTGTAAATTCAGTTTATTGACTCTGTCTCCCTTCTAACACACAAAATCATTGATCCAAGTGAATCAATCAAGCAGCATCAATAATGAAATGAAGAAAAAAATATATTTTTGGTGAAACTGCAAAGTGAACACTGAGCTAAAGCTAAACGCAGCAGAACACCAGCTAAAAGCTAAAATGCGTAAAACTCTATAGCTAAAACAATTTGAATTATAGCTTAAATCAAAATGAAAAAAAAAAAAACTAGCTAAAATCCTAAAAGAAGCAAAGCACAAGCTAAAAGTAGCATACCACTAGATAAATTCTAAAAGAAGCTAAAAACATGCTAAAAGCCAACCGTATCACTAGCTAAAAGGAGCAAAACACTAAGCTAAAAAGAACTAAAACACTGGATTAAAAGAGCAAAACACTACCAGCAAACTAAAAGAAGCTAAATGTATTTTTAGCTGGCTCTTTCTGCAGATGTCATAACAGGGAGTGAACTTTCATGAACTGGATGCCCTTCCTCATGCAGTCTGGGCTCAATAGTAACAGCAAAAGGCCACCAAAAGCTAAAGCAGCTAAGTGCTATTTAAAAGCAACAACAGGTTTACAAAAAGCTTAAGCTACAAAAGCTAAGAGGCTATAGCTTGAAGCTAAAAGTATATAAAAAAAATGAACTAAAACCTAAAAGTAGATGATATAATTACAGGCAGTATGATGAAGCAGATTTCAAAGAGGATAAAGTTTTTGGAGGATTTGAAGAAATCTTAATAYTTCTTTGGAGAAAATAATGTTTTCTTTTTGAAGCTATTCATAAATAAAGTTAAATAGCTAAATCTGAAGGCAAAATGAATTCAGTTACACAATTAGTCCCAGTAATCATCTTAAGTCGTTACAGGTTTCTGTTCTTTAGCAACATGGAGGATGTTGGAGGCTGATGGACTCCTGTCAATAATGACTCTGCAGTTACAAGAACCAGCACGAGGAGCAACAAGTTTCACGTTGAAAATAACATCTAAACATAATAAAACACATGAGAATCATTGAGTTTGTTATTCATGAAATGTTTTTGTATTTTTTTAAATAAATGGATATATGAACCTTGAGCTCATCATTCTCCTCCAGCAGCCTCTCTATCTCCTCCTCCAGGGCCTGGTCCTGCTGAGTCAGGCCCACCGCCTCTGCAGCCTCCACCGGCTCCAGCCGCGCGGCCTCCATCGGCTCCGTGYCTTCGCTTTGCATCCTGGCGCCGCTCCTCTTCAGCCTTCTTCTTCTGCAGCTGAAAACGGATCAGCTCAGTCCGTCAGCATCCTCTCCTCCTCGAGCCCGAGCCGAGGTCCACCGCTCCACAGCTAGGGGCGCGGCTCTGCTCCTCTTCTTCCTCCTCCTCCTCTCCTCGGCTGGCCTCAGAAACGAGAGGGAGAAACTCTGCACGGGGTTACCTTTAAAGCATAAAGCCGGTGTTGGTGAATTTGCCGGATCTCCGGGCTCAGCATCCGCCCTGCTCTGTCGGGTCGGATCAGCTTCAGCACCATCCGGGTGAACAGCTGCTGCTCCGCGCCTCTCGGGCTCCCCCTCTCTTCTGTCAGCGGACCTCCTCTTTCTCTTGGTTCTGCCCTTCTCAGGAGATGAGGGTCCGGCAGCCTGATCCGTCGTCCCCTTTCCTGGCTGCTGTCCGGGGGTCTGCCTCCTCCGCTTCCCTGAACTCTGACCTGCTGATGATGATGGAAGGTCTGCAGCGCCGCTGGCGGCTGAGTTCATTTCCCTCTTTTCGCTAAAATAAACCCACTAACGCGCATTAGTTTGGAATTATTATAGCACTTATTCACATTTAATTAGATAACTGCAAATAAGCTATAAATTAGTTTTGCCTTAATATCCGTATTATGCTTAAAATACATTTTAAGTTATAATATTTGACACTTCTTTAAAACAGCCACCAGATGTCGCTGTTTCTCTTCGCAGACATGGAGGCAGCTTTAATTATTTAGAATTTTGGACTTTTTTATAATATAATTATTATAATTATAGAATTAAAATTGTAGAAGTATTCATTATTTAATAAAGTTATTATTTAAGTCTATGTTCACATTATTTTTTAAGTCTATATAACTCCTGCAGAATGTGGCTTGGCATTGTCTTGCTGAAACGAGCAGGGACGTCCCTGAAAAAGAAGTGATTTGGATGGCAGCATATGTGGCTCCAAAACCTGTATGTAGCTTTCAATATTAATAGTACCTTACCCCCCCACCAATACCACCAGACAGGCTGGCTTTTGATTGTAACAGGACTGAAAAAAGTCATTTTTTATTTTGCGACTTTCCTGCAGTATCTCTTCGACCCCACTAGGGGGTTCCAATCCCATCGTTGAAGACCTCTCTATGACTGTAGAAACAGATACARTTTAGTCAAGTCATGTATCTTTAGCATTAGTAGCAGGGCGGAGCGGTGGTCGGAGCTCTCCCCTCAGCAGGGAGGTCACAGGATCACCTTCTGGCCTGCAGCATTTCGGTGTGGCATTTACATGTTCTCGCCGTGCACATTTGGGTTTTCTCCGGTTTCYCACTGACTAAAAACGTGCATGTTGGATTCACTGGTAACTTAAAATTGTACCTATGCGAGTGCGTGAATGTCCAATTAACTGTCAGTAATCTCTTTTTAAATTTGTAGATTAGATCAGAGTTTCCCAAAGTTGGGGTCGGGACCCAAAGTGGGGTCC